GGACCACAAGCTAAACACGTTATTGTTCGTACAATCAGGGACCATTTATTCAAGTTTTGGTCCGTTTTTCACGAAATTTTAACTCAACCTACATTATGATGTAACGGTGATATATTAAACGGTTTTTAAAATCTGGTAAAAATTGTGACTTCTAGTGGGACCACACGCTAAAGACGCAGTTTTGCGTACAATCAAGGACCATAATTCATGATGTTACGATCCGATGTGCGCGAATATTGAAAGGAACCAAGATCTTTTGGTTATAAACATGCATTTCCAGTTTCATCAAAATCAGATCAAAATTGTGACCGCTAGAGGATCCTCAACCTTGATATACCACATCTTTACACTACAGGTATTTGCGTATTTTGTTCGGCAGTTTTGGTTCCATTTTCACTTAATTCGCACACATCGATCCGACATTACGGTGTAACGGTGATATATTCGAACGTTTTTTTTAAATCGGATAAGAGAGAGAGAGAGAAATGGGGTTTAACGTCCACTCGACACAAACTAAGTCATTTCGGGACTAACACATGGTTCAATTTTATTTCTATAATTCGCTTGCGTGTAGGGGTCTTTAGCAGTGGGAGGAAGCCGGAGGACCCGGAGAAAACCCACGAGGTTGGACAAGCGACCCTACTCCTTGTCACGTACAACCGGGGATTCGAAACCACGCCAGTTGACCCAATGACAGGTCTTGTGATACAGCGCGCATGTGCTAACCATTCGACCAAATCGGATAATAATTATGACCGATTTTTCGTACAACCAGGCGCCATAATTCAGGACGTTACTTTTCCTGAGCTTGCGGTGGACTATTGTTTTTGGTGCATGCCCAACCCTCAGGGTCAGACTATGTTTATTCATGGACTCTTTGAAGGGTCTCATACTAGTCAATAACCCCCTACTCATTTATTAGTGTTTATTCAGTAAGCTAATTACCTTGTTGTTTTTGTTATATATCCTTTACCTCTTAGATTCTTTTGGTTACTATTATTTTAATCCATGTAGATGGTTTCTCTATGAATTTCTTATATTTTGATCTCAAGTTTACTAAATGTCATCGAGGTTATGCTTGCCATTCAGGTTCGGGTTGGGATGATACCTGCCATTTGGATAAATTCTTATCCAAGGCTAAAACCCAGATACTTCGCCAAACCAATCTCGTATACAAGACAGGCTAAACCGGCACATGCTGAGAAAGCTGGCCCAACACCCCATGCTTCACCACGGAAACACGTATTCACACAAACAAAAGAAATGGGAAACGGCTACCAAAACGATGCTCCAGGAAGATGGAATCCACCTAAATGACACAGAGCACCAAAATCTACTGGACATGATCAGAATTATGATAGACGAAACTGCCCGATGCTACCATGGAATGGAAAAGCCCCTCCTACAGGGGGAAATCATAGAAGATTGACAACTGACTCAGTCTCTTCCATGATTCGACAAGTATCTTTTAATATTACTATCTCTTTCTTTCTCCTCTTTCTTTTCAGGTGCTGGATTCTTCCTTCAGAGAATCAATAACAAAAGGAAAGAACAAACAGAAGCAAAGATGAAACCTACCACCATACAAGCCCCAAGGAAGGTGTGCACCGCCCTGCCATTCAACCGGACACATCGACCAGACCGACAGAAACGACCCATTCTCTATGTCTAAATGTTCGTCCGCGTTCATGTCTGTTTCGTTACATATTCGTGTTGTGTGTCCGTCAGTAAAATGTCTGTCTCCACTCGCACTTATTTTATTATGCACTTAAAACGTTTCGTTTAATGACTCTTTTAATCCTTTTTCTCGCTAATCACATTGTAAAAAAAATATTGCATCATGTATATATAATATGTTGTTGTCTTTGATATCACCTCGGTGGAAGCGGACGTTAAATAACCCTATTTCACACACACTAAATGTCATTGTGCTTGATAACGACACTAAATGTCATTGTGCTAAATACCACTCAAAGATTATACCCATTTTTTCTTTGTGTTTCTGTGTGTTTTGCCTACAGACCAGGCGCGGATCCAGGATTTTTTGCAGGGGGGGGGGGGGGTCCTAGGGTCTAGACATTCTCTTCAGGTATAATAATAATAATAATTAAATAATAATAATAATAATAATAAAACATAAGCGGTGAATATGTTATGTATCAAATTTTTTAAAAATCTTATAAATTCCGCTAGCATATTTTTTTATTTTTTTTAAAATTTGATAAAATAAATGAAAACTTAAACTAAGTTACAACCGAAATTTTAAGAAATACTGCAACTTCATTGGATATATGCAAATTGGTTTTACTGGTCAGCCAATCGAATTGCAGTATTTCTTAAAATTTCGATTTTATCTTAGTTTAAGTTTTCGTGAATAAGGGCCCAGACCCCCTGGACCCCCCCCCCCCCCTCTGGATCCGCGCCTGCAGGTTGCAATTCTTAATGGATCGTGCAGGACGGAGGGGCTGACAAGGAAAGCTGTCTAGTCGTTCGGATGGGACAAAAAACCGAGGTCCCGTGTACACATTGGCGTGCACGTAAAAGATCCCTTGGCAATTGGAATTCGATATAAGAGTAGGCCGTAGTGCCGCTGTCCGGGCAAAATTTCCCTCATAGCACACTGTATGGCGTATGCCCGTCTTCATTAGCCCAGCTTAGGAGCAGAACAGTAGGACGTTAAACTCCATTTCATTTCATTTAATGGATCGTCTTGAAAACTGTTCATATACGCAAAGGATGACTGACGACTGTTATTGTTTTTGGTGCATGCCCGACCCCCAGGGGCACAGCAACACCAGATTTTTGTGTTATCGTCCACAGGCTGCAATTCTGAACTTCCAAAGGACGGCGACTATTGATTTTGGTGCATGCCCGACCCCTGTCACGTTCCAGGATGACCCATTCAGAATTGCGTCCCTTGGACGATGAACATAAAAAATGGGCTTAGCTGTGCCCCTGGGGATCGGGCATGCACCAATAATAATAGCAGGCATCCTAAAGGTATAAGAAATAAGTATGAAAAGTTTTCAAGATGATCAAAACATACAGACACACAAAGAAAAAATAGGTGTGGCCCTGACCCTGGGGGTTGGTCATGCACCAAAAACAATAACAATCATTATTAGGGTATAAGGAATAATTTTAAGTATGTACAACTTCAAGACAATCCGTTAAGAAACTGACACATACAGAAATTTAGCTTGACGCTCTGCCCCTAGGAGTCGGGCACGCACTAAAAACAATATGGAACACATTTAGGGTATAAGGATTAATTAGTATGCAAAGTTTCAAGACGATGCGTTAAGAATTGCGGCCTGTAGTTTTGAGGCGATAGTAAAACTACGTAAGGCCTACAAGGCGTAGTACTTCAACTTTCTGAAATGAAATGAAATGGGGTTTAACGTCCTACTCTTCTGCACCTAACCTGGGCTAATTGAAGACGGGCATACGCCATACAGTGTGTTATGAGGGAAATTTTGCCCGGGCAGCGGCGCTACGGCCTACTCTTATATCGAATTCCAACTGCCAAAGGTTCTTTTACGTGCACGCCAAAGTGTACACGGGTCCTCGGTTTTTTGTCCCATCCGAACGACTAGGCAGCTGTCCTTGTCAGGCCCTCTGTTCTGCATCACTGACAAGGGGAAACCACGCCGGAAAATCGAGATGAACTTTCTCGGCCAATGCAAGGATCGAACACCCGACCTCCAGGCTAGCGAGCCAGCGCCTTACCCACTTAGCCACGTGATCCCCACTTCAACTTTCTAAGCAGACAAAACAAGTTTTCACCTGTTTTTAAAGCACAACTAAATTGAAACGATACTCCCTGGATCCCAAAAGAGTCTTTATTCTTATTCTATGTTAAGAGTTGATCTAAAATGACAAATATGGGGGGTCTAATAAGTCTTTCAGAAATAATTTTAATGTGATCGTCAAAGCCCAATATTCCAATTCGTGAATCGTACATTAACCATTTTGTTCTCATTTTGGAGGAAAAATAAAATTAGAACAATACTATGTACATCCAAAATGATTACATATTTGTAATCTACGCAAAAAGTCACTCTAAACAGACACGTTTGAGGAGTATAGTCATATATAAGGTCCATGGTATAGGTCAACGTGAAAAGTCAACAATTTTGATAATAGCTATTAAAACTTCATCACCGAACAAATTTCAAGTGCCATTTAAAAATATAAGCCATCAAATACACGAGACTGACTTTAATGTATGTTATAGCATATAGGTCATGTGGAACTTATTTTAAAATCAACGTGAAAAGTCAACAATTTTGAAGTGCCAGTTAAATAAGCCATCAAATACACAAGATGGACTTTATAAATGAATGTTATAGTAGGGTAATTGAAGTTTCAGAATTTTAACCTCTATATCCCACATTATGGCCAAAACTGAAGGTGAAAATGGTTATATTTTGTGCGTTTTCAGTGTGCATTGAATTTCGAGACTGAATATTGGAAACGTATATAGGCCTATACCATCGACCCAGAATCTTTTGTAAATTGATTAAAGACAAACTGACATGAACTATGCCAATTTTGGAGGTGTGTATACAATATTATAGTGACGTTGCCAGAGGCTGTGGAAATCCTGGAAAAAAAGTGAATAGTTCATTTGTTCCACATTTTGCCACCTGGTGGCACAAACTGTGTAAATCGCACATTGCGTGTGATGCTAAATTCATAATCTACACCAAAAGTTGTCCTCGATTACAAAGCGAGAGAGTTCTACTCCTATTAGAAATGTACGTTTAAAGGATCAGAAAACCTGAAAAATATTACCGAATTTATGATTCGTTTCATTACCCTAATTTCAAATGGCCATATCTCAGCGAGTTTTCGACCTAGAGAGGTTGATATACTATAACATAATAATATATTTTTTATAATTTTTTGGGAGGGGGTCATGTTCCCACCATTGGTCCAGTTGATGAGGAATGGCCCATTATTATTATATTATGAGTTGAAATAATGGTGAATTTGGGTAGATTTGGGTAAATCGTGCTACCGATATTATAATCGACCTGACTTTAAATTACAATTTCTTTGAAGCAGTACAAATTTAACAGCTCATATAGAAGATAATATAATTAGGACTAAGACTGTATGTTTTTGCATCGTGCTAAAAGTTAGACAACTCCGTAATTCACTAATTGTATGATTTATTGAACATTGCGTCCCAGAAGGGTCAGCTGTTTATCTAGTAATGGCAACAAGTTTATCATGAACTGCAATCTGTGAACAAAACAACAAACTTACAGTAACACTTATGTGGGTTAATGAATTTTTTATCTCTAGTAAGATAAGAGAATTTCTACAATGTAAACAAATACAATACACAAACAAAAAAGTAGATTGTGTCGAGTAGTTGTTTTTTTCATACGCTGATGTTGTTTTGAAAGGACATGAAGAAGGATAGCGTAAACAAGTTCACGGATTGAGAAATTATGAATAAACATGTTGAATATTTGATAAACACAGACCCATTGGTAAGTTTTTAACTATTTATTATAAAACTTAAGGAAGATTTGCATGATCTGCTCCTCCTCAACATGGCACATGGAATGGTAGCACGATTTACCCAAATCCACCATTATTTCAACATAATAATAATATCACAAGTATTTATATCGTTTTTTGTAATATACCACCATTCCTTTAGCTAAACATGAAACATGTCATATGTCATACTTTAAAATGACAGTCCTCATATTTTGTGCCAAAATCCGACATTCATGCTTGTTTGGTCAAGGGATATTTATTTGCCATTTTTAAACTCATTTTAGAAACAAATACACTACGATTTTAAATCAAAAATGACAATTTGGCACAAAGAACAGTAAATATCAAAAATCGATATAAATTATTGTCACATGAATTGAAATGTTGGTGCATTTGATTAGATTTTGATGGAATTTTGGTAAAACACAATTTTACTGGTGCACTCAATATTCCTGGAAGTGTTAAATTATATAGTCTGTAAAAAAATGATCATATTCAGTAATTCACTGTAAATATACTGAGCGCCATGGAAAACGCATCACTTAGTTTTTCGTATAACAAAATGATCCTGTAAACATATCTTATTTATTTTGCTTCTTATTGTGAACAATATTCAAATGGGAACACATCAATAACAACACATTTGTACACTTATGGATGTTTAATCTGTAATCAAGGGTACAAAGTCAGAGGAGTCAAAACCAAAAGTATGACACAGATGTCAGTAGCGCGTGTGTCCTCCACGGGCCATCATCACGGTAGGCTACAGCATTAACGCGACCCCTGCAAATGTGTAGGGCGGTCCGGTGATGAAATGTGAAGCCTCCCCACACCATTACACTTCCCCCACCCCATCGCTTCGTTTCGAAGACGCAGCAGTCTGCAAGACGTTCCCCAAGACTTCTCCACACACGTTGACGGCCATCAGCGTGATAAAGCTGAAAGCGTTGTAACACGTTGTGGACCAGGACGTTGACGGTCACGTGTTGATCCAGTAACTCGAACACGATTCCCATGGCTTCATTCCGTTGATTTTCAGTAAGTCTCGGCATCTCTAGCTTGATTCCTTCACACGTCCAACAACAAATTACGACAGATTGACGTTTCATGTACAGTTCATGTGTTGGCACTTACTGGTCCTTGTCTTCCGACGACTGCTGCACCTGTTCGAGTCGCTGGGCGGAATCTGTCACGCAGATGAGTGACCCGGATGTAGCAGTCTTGAGCCTGGGTTGTAACGCGTTGTGGACCAGGACGTTGACGGTCACGTGTTGATCCAGTAACTCGAACACGTTCCACCAACCTTACAATAGTGGACTGATTACAATTGAAGTGTCTGGCAATAGCACGTGTAGACATGCCAGCCCTGCACATTCCCATGGCTTCATTCCGTTGATATTCAGTAAGTCTCGGCATCTTTAGCTCGATTCCTTCACACGTCCAACAACAAATTACGACAGATTGACGTTTCACAGTTCATGTACTGCACATTAAGTTGAAAACATGCTTTTAAAGGGCTCACACACAATGCTGCACGTGAATATTGGGTTTTTCATATGCATCTCGTGCAATTTTTTTTTGCACACGGGCCGATATTTTTTGCTTTTGGGAGCATTGTGTGAAATAATAGTTCATAGTATTGCATAATATTATACATACGAAACCACCTAGTAATAAAATATTTGGGAAAAAAAAGTGATGCGTTTTCCATGGCGCTCAGTATATTATCTTTCATCCACTTTGAAACAATGGTAGCATTCAAGTTCATTGTAGCTATAGTATCTTTATAATAGAGTTAATTCATCAGATAATCACCCATTCATGACAATAACTGATTGATTTCCATTATGCTTCTCAAAATATTAATCAAGATCTATTAATATTGTACCGTCTACGTAAGTTGGGATTAGCAACACAAAGCCATCGAGTGGGGGTAAATGAGATAGTACTAGAAAAAACCCCCATAAAAGTAACCAGAAGTGTTCTCTAGACCTCTGAAACGAATAACAACCTAGCTAGCAACTGTTAAACAATTAACCATAAAGATTTAAAGATACTTTCCCAGAAAAATATTTACCGGGTGGTTTTCTTTCCAATAAAAGTATGTCAAATTTGGTATGTATGGAAAGTATGGACGCCCAATCTTACTAGAAAAATACTGGATTACCCGAAAAACACCCATGGGACAAGCACTGGGCAAAATTGTTACTAACTGGCAACCCGACTGTTATCTGCCAGCTTATTGTGTGCCAGCTTAAGTGGGGGAGCGGTTGTTATTTCTTGATCAAATGGTTAGGCAGTTTGGGGAAAATTGAGGGGTGTCAGCGTACAAAAGACTCTGCAAATAAATGGCGGAAAAAGAAGTTGAAAGAAATAATTAAGAATTTACTTAGGCCTCAATATGTATGATAAATGTACAGTAAGTAATGATAAATACATTCTGAAAAATGGACCTTCCAACAAAGAAGCTAAATTGACAGACATTGCGTGTAACAACAGCTATAGGTATCCCCGACGAATACAAAGTTTTGAGAGGGAATTGAAGCAAATTTTTGATAGATTGGTTACTTTGAATGTTTTTAGTCCAATTATATCATCAAATCACAAAGTTTGTATGCGGAAATGTATCTTTAATCCATGTTCATCCAAAAAGGTTAAATCGAGGCACAAAAATAGAATAATTGAGTGCTTGTTTGGTCAGAAACAAAACTCTTGAAATTGCAGATATTAGAAAACAATCCTGATATTATTGTCCTTACTGAAACATGGTTATATGATATCGGTGATGAAAATTGCACTTATAGCCTTGAACTGTGTTAAAAGCATGCAGCAAAACTCGATTATGGGTGTATTGTGTATGGGTCAGCCCGCGAGCATTACCTAAAAGAGCTTGACACCATACACAACCAGGGACTTAGAATCAGTTTAGGAGCATTTCGTACATCTCCAGTGGATAGTTTACATATCGAGGCCCATGAGCCTTCATTGCACAACCAACGCAATAAACTGGCCCTGTAGTATGCTACAAAAATAGTATCTTTACCAAAACATATTTCATTTAACACCATATTTAGACCTTATCATGAGCATTTATTTCTGCTCAAAATGAATGTCATTCTATCATTCGGTATTCGCATACAACCCTTTTGTCCGAAGCTAGTATCAGCCCGGACAGTATTGCGAATACCCCTTCTTTTAAAGACTCCACCGTGGGCTATATCTCCCCCAAATATCAATTTCGATCTTTCTCAACATAAAAAGAGATAACTAGCTCAACAGTGTTCCAACCTCTCTTTAGAGAGTTAAGGTCTTAGTATGGTGAGTATTGTCCTATTTACACAGATGGTTATAAAGATGGTGATTGGGTAGCTTCGGCTACCGCGACGCCATCTGAGAACATTTCTGTGTGTCTCCCACCTGCTGCTTCAATATTTACAGCTGAGCTCCAGGCCATTCTTTAGGCCTTGGAGGTCATTCAATCTTCGTCATCTTTAAACCATATCATCTTTACTGATTCTCTGTCCTCACTTCAAGCAATTAACAATAAACAGCTTGAACACCCATTAGTAGCAGATGTTTATTGTCTGATACTATCTTTCGATTTCAACAGCAAAGACGTCGTCTTTTGCTGGCTCCCCAATCACATGTTGATATAAGGGGGAATGATCAAGCAGATTTAGCTGCCAAAGCTGCTTTAGATCTTCCCCAATCAAATATTTTAATACCATATAAAGATTTTAAACATGTATAAATCATTTTATTTATAACCGCTGGCACTGCTGGATCTTGCAGGCACAAACAAACTTCATCACATTTTGCGACCGACTATTTATTTTCCTGGTTTAGTACCCCCCACCCCCGCTTTTACGCTCCTGGGAAACAGGCTGTGTGTGGTTTTTGACATGCTTCCAAAAAAGGCACAGGAAGTTGCAGGGAAATATGACCAATTTCGGCTACTATATGATTAAAGGAGCAACAAGGTTGTAATTCAGTGTTGTGTATCAGTTTTATTTAGAGTTATTGCCCCTGTCACGCAAACTTTGGGTTTTTTTCAAACTTGCTGAGATCGTTCAAATAGTTATTGCCCATGACCTATTGAAAATATATCAAAATTAAAGGTCACCGGAAAAGGTTCATAATTTTTTTAAATAGAGCAAGTAATTATGTTAACATATCTTTTCCATAAGTATAACAGGAACCCAAATGTCAATATTACCTGCAACAAGTAAATTTCAACATTAGTAATTTCCGCCATTCTTCGTGGGTAGCCGTAACTTTCCGTATCTGTGACGTCATTTTAGTCCTTCTGCTCATATTCTAGTCTATATTTCTATGTGCAGAAGGACTAAAATGACGTCACGGATTGCTTATTGACGGAAAGTTACGACTACCCACGGAGAACGGCAGAAATAACTAATGTTGAAATTTACCTTTTGCAGGTAATATAGACATTCGGGTTCGGGTTATACTTATGGAAAGGATATGTTGACATTATTACTTGCATTATTTTAAAAAAAATTGATGCTTTTCCGGTGACCTTTAACTAGTGAATGTGATTTCTGCATTATTAGAATTGTAGATACATGTACACTCTTGTCCCTCTCAGTTTTCTTCAATTTAGTGTACAGTTGCTCTATTTTGATGCAATGTCATTCCTCCTCCTAATCAGTTAATACTATTGTAGATTTTGAAAGCTATTGTAATGTTGAACTTTAACCATTTACTGATATCTAGTAAGTAATATGATATCAAACTGATAGTACTTAGACAGATCAGTTTAACATGACATTTTATATAATAAGTGGTCCAGTAACGAGATGATTTATGATTTATAGACTTAAAAACAATAATAGTTAACATTATTAATGTCATTAAATTGTATTTGGTTAGTTTGGTTGATAAAACACTTTTCTAACAAATTATATATGTTGGTGGCACTTTTTACTGGCTCCACAGAAACGTCGCCGATAGAAATATCAATGTTATC